TGTTGCAACTGTAAGTTATTTGGTTATATATATTCTAAAAATATGAAGATTGCAGACAAGTAAAATCAAAACCAGAAGAAAAGGACGATGATATAACAATACTGAGATAGTTGGGGGTTTTTTATAGTAAAAATGATTTATTGTATGAAAAAAATCATCAATAAATTTATATGAAGATCAAACTCACCTTTAGTTATAAACAATAAATGCAGAGGCTGTGAAGTTATGCGACACTTTTATAGGAGAGCTTGTACAATGAGAGAGGTTGAATAAAATGAACAAAAATTGTACAGTAAAGTAGTAGGCTCAATAATGAAATTGTTAATCACATTTAATACAGTCATCAGAACATTTAATTACGTTTCTATAGGAAGTCAGATATTGATGAAACAAATTAAAAGCCCTTTATTTATACAAGGATGCTGTTTGAAGGTAGCTGATCTTCAACAAGACTGCAAAATATAATTTTATACACCTGCTTGGTGAAGAAGACCGAGACCACATTCACTCTTGGGAAAATATCGCGTATAAAAATATGTGTGTTTTTATTAAAACTTATTTTGTCCTTTCACAAAAGAGTTCCTGTTTAAAATATAAAAGTAATCAAGGATGTTTGTAAAAATTGACAATTTTAAAAACTTTTAATTTTATGTTTTATTCAAATAATTGTACTCGCTAAAGCCTATAAAGTTCTGTGTTGTGTTGTAAAATGTATGTTTTTTTGACACCAATACAGGGCATTCCTGAGATCATGAATTTAGTTTAATAATTCAATTTTATCTTGTTACTCAAACACTTTTCAAAGTGAGAAGCTTTTTTTTTTTCAAGATGAATTGATTGATACATTATGAAATAGCTAAATATTCTTTCTTGGACAATGATAGCAATTTTAAAAATTAACATTTTCTAATTCCCTTAATTAGGTAAGCATCCAAAAAATAATACAGATGAACAGAACACACATTTAAGGTGCATTTTTCTGTAACGAAATAGGTTAGGAACGCAACACGGAAAATATATACAGAAGTGTGAACACGGTTAGTTAATACATGTAAAATGCATACAGCAGCTAGAGCATACGTTTTGGGAAGCCAGGCTGCATCAATACTGCAACCGCATAGTAGAAAGAACCCCAGAGATTTCAGTGCTTCATTGTTGACATTATGTGTTTGAGCTATCTGCTTATCTAATATGGCAGAAAAACCAATCATTAGTTGCTTCAAAATAATGTAAACACAAGAGGGAAATAAATTTAGAGCAGGTTTTCACAATTAGCTTACACTACCTATTTTATAAACAATATTGTTCACACTAGAGTAAAATTAATAATTTAAATGAAAAGCAAAAGTTTAAATAACCCCAGCTTCGTCCTTGAGACAAAGCTATACATTTCACTTTAAGAGACTACTGAATTGAAAAGATTTTTTTTTTTTTCAATTCACATAAAGATCATCAGAGTAGTGAATTATTATGAATACTACATTTGACTATATAAAAACATTTTTATACCACAGTACACACATCACAAAAAAAATTGCATTGAAAAGAATTATATTCAAATTTCACCAGATTACAGTCATCAAAGCAGATGGTTTGAAAATAACCAAATGGGAAGCATGAGATGTATTTGAAAACTAAACTAAAAAAAAAAAATAAAAAAAAACAAGTTTCCATTAAAAAATCTAATAAATACTTCTCATAAGCCATTCACTCAAAATCACAACATGAAAGCTTTAAAAAAAAACTCTTGACACATTGGCGCCTCGGTTTGAAGGCATTTACAATAATTGGACCTGGTTATTAGAATGGATACAACTAAGATTCTGGCAACTTTGGATTTTAAAAAAGCTTTCAGAAAAAGATCTTAACATTGGCCTGTGGGAAAGGGAATGAGTTTTCGTTTTTATTTCTTAAGCCAGTAGGTTCTGGGCAAGTGGGCTGGTTTTATAATTAGCTTGAGAATTTTCGTTAAACAAGCATTCACAATTTTTAAAACTTAGCTACATAAAATAGAACAATATTGTTTGTCTTATCTGCCTGGGGTCAGTCACAAATTTTTTTTAATAAAGATTATAATACACCCTGTTAATAAAGTATGCAGAAGTTCATTAAATTTCGTATTAAATTCTTGATGCACAACAATTGTAGGTGGAGCAAAAAGACTACCATTTTTTTTAATGCAAAATCTTTTATTGCTTTTCTTAAAGTTTCTTTTAGTTTACTAATAATTATTGTTTTTTTTACTAAAATGCCTACTAACAGGGAAATTTTTTAATTATTTTCTTTTAATGAAAAAATAATTAATTAAATTTTAGTTTGGTTTGATAGGAGATGATGCAACGATTATACTGTTTTGAATTTAATTTTATTTTAAAAGATAAATCACAAAAATAGCTCAAAATGTTTGTTTTTTAACACCTCATCAAAACAAAGAAACACCCCTTCTTTCAAATATTTTATAAAATTTAACATAAATAAATTTGATCTGTGATGGAAACTTGTTCCACCTCATTTTTGGTAAACAGAATGAGATGAGTTTTCATGCAAAGACATAATAACAATAAGTAAATTAGGTCCAATGAATATAAGAGGAAAAAAGAAAGTGAGGTTCGGAGTTTAAGGCAAATGTTTTTAATAATAAATGTACAAGAGCATTATGCTGTATTAAAATTGAAGCAGTATTTAATTGCAAAACACTTGTAATAGCAGGCTGTATTTTAAAAATATTTTCAAAAATTGTACCCTTAGGGTAGTCATTATTTTTTCGTGATAGCCAAATTGGGTTTCTTATCTTTACATAAAAAATATATCAAATTACATTATTATTACTTTTTAACAAAATCATTTGTAAGAAATTTTGTTTAAATAGATGAGATACAATATTAGAATAATCAGATGGATTTTTTTTTTGTTAATTCTAAACAGAACAATTAATTACTTGTGAGTTGGACATTTTAATTATCTTTTACCACAATTCAAATTTATCACATTTTCCTATCATTCAGGTACATTAGTTTTCAAAAGGAAAACTTTAAAACAAATTAAACTTCAATTTTTTCTGCAATAAACCACCAAAGAAAGTTTACCAATCTGCCTAACCAAAACTCAAGGTTTTCACAAGAATAAGAAATTAGTTTCAAGTCTAATACATTCTTTTTGATTGATGGATTAAATTGTTTCAAATTCACCCATATCTTGAAATCCCGTCACACCCCTACCGTATGGTGGGATAATCTAGAACTAGAAGACATTTTCTCATGCTCCCTAGGGTTTTGTTGATGGATTTTCTCAGAATGCCTATGGAAGCAAAACTTCCTTTTTTTTTTTACTCAACTAAAGGAAAGAGCTTTGAGATCCTGAACAATATTTTTTTTTTTAAATAGCTTTATGTGGTAATATTTTCAGTTTTTGGCAGTTTTATGAAGACTTCTTTAAACACAAGGGACAATACAAGCAGAGAGGGAAACATTACTTACTCACATGAATGCAGCACTATATTGGCTTCATTTTGCTTTTCTTTAACGGATTACACAGATATTTCAAACATTTCGTTTATATTACATCAAGAAAGCATGAGCAGCACATTCTTTATTAAATAACTTAAGCACAGCTTAGGCATGGTTTTTACATTGCAAAATAAATAAAAATAAAAATAAAATCTTGGGGATTTATTTGACATTAAGACACTGTATATTTTAAATACTAAATCTATTTTAACAAAATATGGCATTACAGGTACAAAAAGCAGTTTCAAAACGCTACATCACCAAACAAGTAATACTATTTGTAGCTCAGTTTTGGGGCTACCCCTTACTAATAATAGACACAAAGCAGTTGTTTTAAAAAATTAACATATTGGTCTGATCAGACATGCACTGGATATAAATGGACTTTGTACAGCAATTTAAATAAAACAACATACAGAGAACCATAATGGAAGTTGGCAATTTTTAAAACTGGCCACTAATATAAACGTGTAGAGCTATGCTTATATTAAACTTTTGCAACTCACTTTTTATAAGTTCATTTCTCTGGATGCAAATTGCGTCACGTGCAAAGTAAAAAAAATAGGTAAAGAAAAAAAACACTGGTAAAATGAAATCCGAGGGTAAGTGTATTGAAATACTTTAGTATTAATGAATTGTTGGTATTTGACAATAAGACAATCACAAATGAAAGAGCAGTGATTCCTGTACTCATAAACCATCCAAAACCGTAACCATAATAAAATTAAAATCTAACATTTAAACTGATGACTACATGAAGCTGTTCCTTGACTGAAAATAAAATGAAAATACTGACAAAATTCATATCTATAATTATATGTTATAGAGGTTAATATTTCCTTAAAAGGTTTTCATTGTGATGCTGAGAGTAATCTCTAAGAAACCCATGCAAAGCCAAGTAAAATTAGCAGCACCAAAGGAAACATGGCAGAGTCGTTAACCATGAAATATGTTACAAGATGACGCGAATGAAATTCACATAATTTAATATCAGGATTACAGCTGCAACGAGGCCGCAGTGTTCAAACTCATGATACCTAAAACAAAAGGGGGTTAATAGTTATTTAAAGAAAAGTCAGTCACTGTTGTTAAAATATCGTGGCCCAGCAGGAGAAATGTGAACATGAGAAAAAAAAAAAGAAGGATCATCAGGTTGTTCTTCAACTGACCAATTATTATTTAATTATTATGCAATGCTGTCATCTCCAGAGTGTACTTGTCTCAAGTGTTCCATCATTTCACTCTTGGGGCGACCAGAAACACTGACCGTCAGCCCAGAGCTTTCTTCAGTAGATTCGGACAGAGGATGTGCTGCAGGATACGAGTGACGGTCTTTGTGCTTGGGTTTCGGTGCTACCGTTGGTGTTTTTTTGGCTGGGGAGAGCTCAGCTGCCGCTGGTGCTGCTGCTGTGACTGTGGCGGCCAGCGCAGCAGGAATAAATGTGTTTACAGTTCGTTCAGCTGAGCTGCGAAAAACTCGCATGCTGTGAACATCGGGTGCATCGTGGAGTTCTAGAAAAATGTCCGAACGCTCGGTTTCACCACTCAGTCTGTTCACCTCGTCTAATTCAAAATCTTCTTCTTCTGGAGGTTCCAAGGGACTTGGCAGGTCACCAAAGGGAAGGTCTTCGTTCGATTGTTGCATAGATACCTCGTAATCCAACGATCTGTCCCTAGCTGAAGCTGTCGAGGACTCTTTCCTTGCACTTGTTCTGTCATTGTCTGTTTGAATGTTGTTGGTAGTACCAGTAAGCAGTGCGGAGTGTTCAGTGTATTCTACTTCTGCTTCATCTCCCTCGGGTGGCAAAATTTCAGTTTTTGGATAGATTTTAGTGAATGTCTGCACAGTGGGCACAATTTGAGCACGTCGTGGACTGTCTGTCTTAAGGTTAATCCCGACATCATGAGCTTGTGATGTGCTGGGTTCATTTTCATGCAAATAATCTTTGCCCATTTCAGTTTTTATACGCTTGCTGGTGTCACTCACACCGGCCACATCCGCAACTTTCTTTGTCCCCACCGGCTTCTTAAGACCTCGTGGAACTTTTTCTATTTCAACCCCTTCATCCCCTTCAGAGAGATGCTTCCGTAGCTCATTAACAAGAGCTTTGTGCACATTGTCATTGGATTTTTTCTGCTTCCTCATCAACTCAACATGGGCCTCAATAGTTGAAAGTTGTGATGACCCCTGACCTGACCCAGTCCCATCTTTTGAACCATCCTCCCCATTTTGATCCTGGAGTTGCCTGTTTGCAATTTTTGCAGTGATCTCCTTTAAGAATTTGTCTTCGACAATGTTCTTTTTAAGTTTACAACCACTTGTGCTGCCACCTTCATCGCTGTGAACCTGGAACATTTTCATCTGCTGCTGAACGTGCGCTGAAGACATAGCTTCCTGCACATTTAAGCCTTCTCTGCTTCCTCTGATGTTCTCACGACTTCTGCTGACCTGACGAGGTGGCACCTGAAAATGATGATTTTAAAATTTTAGTTTATTTTTAACTTAATTTGAGATATCTTCATTGAGCTGTCCATGTTTATATGTATGTATTCTATTATACAAATTTAAAGCTTTAAGAGTTTTCGGACCTTCATAAAATATTACTACACCATTAAGTGCCCCTGTTATGGCCTAATAAGGGGCTTATTTAATTTCATCCATTTTGAAAATAAAATAAAAAGATTTTTGCTTTTGAAACTAAATTTTGTTACTTTAAAGTTAGCGAAGGGTGTCCAGATGTCTAAAATTGTAAGACTTTCTTTTTCAGTAATTCTTTTAAATTAAATTTGGCAGAGTAGTAAAAATGTATAAATATAGCATATAGTTTAGGGAGAAAAAAATGTACTTCACAAAACTTTTTTTATGGCACAAATCCAAATTTTCTTTTACACAGCATACAGGCATTTTTAATTTTACCTCTAAAAAGATATCAAAAGGTTCATTTATATGTATAAGGTATTTTGCCACTGGATGTGCCAAAATTTTATTTTAAAATTAACTTATATAATGATTACTTTTATTGATATTTAATATCGCTGTGTTGAAATAATCATTGAAAAACTGTGCTTCACTATAGTCTATGGCATTGCGGACAAAACCGCCCTATGTGTTAAGCTCTAGGTCTTTTACTCTGGGCAATGGTTTGCTTAAGGAATATTCTCATTTATGCAGTATTATTCTGTTGGACCAGTCATCAGCTATTTATAACCCCTGGACTGCCTTGTAAACATTGCCATTTCAGCTTTGGACCATTTCTCATGTAATCTCATCATAAACTATTTTTCTCGAGGATTTAATCCCTGAATTTTAACCAAGAAGAAAAGTTTGCATTCTCTTCAAAATGGCTGATTGGTTTCAGTTTATGTATCCACATATTATTAAGATTTATAGTGACATTCAATTATTTTTAAAAGAATCTTTGGTAGCTGTTTTTTTTTTTTTTTTTTTTATAAAGCAAGGTATTTTATATATAAAGGAGATGACTTTTAATATTAATTAAAAAATAATCTTTCCCAATATAAAAAATTCATAACAAAGTTAAAGTTATGCATCAAAAAAAAAAAATATTGAAAAAATAAATTTAAAAGATTTTTTTGTTGTTTTTTTTTTTTTTTTTTTTTTTATAAAGCAAGGTATTTTATATATAAAGGAGATGACTTTTAATATTAATTAAAATGTAATCTTGCCCATTATAAAAAATTCATAGCAAGGTTAAAGTTAGGCATCAGAAAAAAAAATTATTGTAAAAATAATTTAGAAAACTACTTTTTTTTTTTAAAATTGACTGACTGGCAATCAGAAATTCAAAGACAAATATGAAAGAGGAAAAAGGGGACAAGAAATTATTTAAGAAGAAAGAGAGCCTAACACAGAAAAGATATAGGAACTATTAGGTGGACATACATGCCAGGCCAGTAAGCTTTACCATACCTGTAATAAATGAGCATCTGTTCTGGAGTGGGATGAGTTGTCACCAGACACACAGACGTACACAGGTCTATAGAGAATTGTCTGATCTGTCTCTGAGTCCACCTCATCGCCCATGTACACCTGGCCTAATTGGAACTCTGGACTAATATACATACCACCTTCAACATTCATGGCTGCCATTTCTAAGATATACCAAAATAGTAATATTAGGTGGTTCTGTGTTAAAGGGAAATAATAGACAGTTTTATTTTAAAGATTTCTTTAGATTTTAAAAAGTAACGATCACCCCAATCTTTTTTTATTTTCAATAAAATGACATACACATTTGACAAATTCTAAAAGCAGGGCTTCATTTTTTCATATTTGTTTTACTTTGTTTTTAGCATGTTTCTAGTAAAATTATTAGGTTCCAAAATTAACATCTGAGCATGGACAGGTCAGCTAAGTCTTAAGTACTGACATCTCCTAAAATAATTTTTTTTAAATTATTCTCAAATTAATTTATAATTCCTTTATTCAATTTAATGTCTAGCGCATCCATATTTTGTAATGTAGATTAAACTAAGCGTGCTTGAGAATGGAGATTTAAAAAAACAAGAAGTTCAAATTGAGGTTGAAATTAAAAAGAAATTTTATAATGAAAAATTGTTTGTTTAATTGGATAAGATCAAAAATGTAAAGCTTTTAATTTTTTTAATAATGTGTAACTGGACTCTGAGACAAAAGAACTCCTTGAAATGCTGTAATAATAAGCAGAGAGTAACTTTATTGTCATTCATGCTTCATAAGTCAAAAGTAATGAATCTTACCGTAATGTATTTCTGGCATGGGGCCATTGGGTGCCCTGAAAGGTACAGTCGCTATGGTGATGGGTAAGCTGATCTCTGCAGCATCACCTTTGCCCTTTGAGGTCTCAAGATAAAGCTAGAAGAAATTCATTGCACATTTGTAGCAAGGTCTTTTCTTTTTACATTTTTGGTTTCAATTTGGTCCAAGATTATAAAAATATTCATAATAATGATTTTTTTTTTTTTACATTGACTAGGAGCATATTAATAAAATCATGACTCCCATGAAAAAAAAAAAAGCCTATCCTATACATAATTAATATGGAATTAACATTTATTCATAGACTTTTAATAATCTACACTCTGATTTGTCATGTTTTTTCATTATAAGTTTAGAGACGATTTTGAATCAGGCGAGATGGACAGACTGAGATGTGAATGAAAAACGAGCGTTCTGACATTATTCTAGAACTCCATGATGCATCTGATGTTCCCAGTGGAGAAAGTGTTTGCTATATTTCCAAGGCACATACGAGTCCTTATATAATTGCAATATTGTACTCTTTATGTGTGCGTGTAAATTAATATTTGTATTTTTTTTTAGGAGTGCACCTTTTTCACTTGCTGTGCTGTAAGCTGATACAGCTTTTTGGTTTCTGAATGTGGTTTTATAATTTTATAGAAATTTAATAGTATAATTAAATTGAATATTGTTAGTAACACTAGCTTTGGTATTTTTTTTCTCAGTTCTTTGTTACATATTGTTTATTCTGTGAGCCAAATCTTAAGAGCACATTAAGTTTTCAAAACCATACTCAACACCATGTTCAAATAAAAATCTCTGCTGTAATTCTTTTAAATGATTTTAATTCCAGGGGTGGACTAGGCCGCCGGGACACCGGGAATATTCCCGATAGGCCGCCAGGACCGGTGACCGATGGGCCCACAGGACCAGTGATATAATAATAATTAATAACTAATATGCGGTGATATTAGAGGCCACTAACAAAATGGCGGTCCATAATGTCCAAATCAACAGCAGCCGTACTCTTCGTAAATGAAGAGCTCCGTACAGCCAGCGGCCACCATGTTAGAATTTAAATCTTCCATTCTACTTCCGCTGAGTTTGCTTTGATAAAAATTCTTTTTAATTTGTTAGTTAATAATAATTGATATTAATTAAATAAAATATTTTACGGTTATGAGTGATATAAATTCAAAACGTAAATGTAAAGGTGGTGCGGAGAAAGTAAGAGATAAGAAACTAAAAATTCTTAGTAAAGATGGAGCTAAATGCCAAAATCTATTCGATTTATTTAGAGCCACTTCAATTCAAACTAAAGACACCGTCTCTCAACAAACACCTTCTACAACTACACAACCCGACACAAATCAAAACGATGAAAACAATCAACATTCAGTGGTGCCAACAAATTTGATTCCCACCTTACAATTAGAAAATGTTACGGAGTTAACTTACAACACAATATTTATGAAAACAACGTTGGCAGTGGCAGATCTAAATCCCGAAAATGATAGTTCAGAAACTTCAGTTATCGATGATAAAAGCACCAGTTACTATTTCAAACGTCCTTGACAGAATACTTTACTATCATTTGTTTAAATTTCACCCAATACAACCAAGTGCGAGTGAAACTGATCTACCATTTACAAATGCGCATCCCGTATTTTTCAGAAGCAATGGTATCAATAGGAATTGGGTGTCATACTGTAAAGAATCTAAAGCTTTGTTTTGCACAGTATGCTTAGCATATGGCAAGACTGACAATATGAACTCATTCACAGCGGGAATGTTCCTGGAAACATGTGCATCAAAGAATAGAGGAACATGAAAACAGCAAATATCACGAAAAGTGTGTGGAAGCTCATATAATGTCTGTAAGTGAAAGAGACATTGATAGCATTTTATTCTCTCAGCAAAATAAAAGAAGGTACCAACAAGTTCAAGAAAAGAGACAAGTGCTGGAAAGAGTAATTGCGATTCTGAAAATGATTGGAAAACGTGATCTTAGTTATCGGTCAAAAAATGATGCTGCCTATACATTAAACGACGCTACAATGATCATGGAAATTTCTTGGAAATATTATTACTCTTGTCAAAATTTGACCCAATAATTAAAAAACATCTTGATACAGTTATTGAGAAAAGTAATGATAGACATGCATCTAATTTGGCGAATAAGGGGAGAGGAAATTTGATTACCCTCATATCGAAGACGACATTGAATTATATCATTGTTGCAATGAGAAAAATAATAAAGAAAATCATTTCGGAGGAAATTAAATCTGCTGGTATGTTTTCAGTTCCATTGGATACAACTCAGGATGTAAGTGTGAAGACCAATGTTCAATAATTATAAGATATCTAACAGATAAAGTTCATGAGCGACTGATATGCGTTGCAAACTGTACATCTTCTACTGGAAAAGGTATGTTTGAATTATTTCAAGAGAAACTCATTGAATGTAACATAAATATTGAATTTTGTGTAGTTAATGCTACAGATGGGGCAGCCAATATGCAAGGACAGTACAATGGGTTTACTAAATGCCTGAGTGACGTCGCACCTCATCAAATTCATGGCTGGTGCTACGCACATGTATTGAATCTTGTTATAAGTGTTACCACTCAAACCATGACCTCTTCAATTAGCCTATTTCAACTGCTTAACGAATGTGCGGTGTTCTTTAGAGAATCGTTTCAAAGAATGGATGTTTGGATCAATCACCAACAGAAATCTAGACACCAAAGATTAAATATTATTGGTGAAACGCGATGGTGAGCCAAAGAAAGTGTGTTAAAAAAAGGATTTGGAAATTTTGATGATCCAAACTCATCATTGTTCACTGAATTGATTTATACGTTACAAGAACTAGCATCATCGGACGCATTCAATGCAAAAATCAGGGATACAGCTCAAACTTTACTAGATAAGTTTATCAAATTTGAAACGTTTGTCACTGCAAAACTATACTTAAGAATATTCCAGAACACAGGATCGCTTTCTAATTATTTACAAACCACCGGAATGGATGCACTGCAAGCATACCGTTATGTAGATTGTACTGTTAAGTTGTTAAAAAATATTTCAAGAGATTTTGATGGTGTTCTCGACATTGCCAAACGATTTGTGTCCTGGGCTAATAACAAGTTAGAAGATGAACATGTTGAAATTACTATTGAGGAAAATTTTGTAGAGAAACGTTTACACAAACCAAAAGTGATGTCTGATGAGAGAAGAACGCACGAGGTAATAGGAAATAATGCAGCGGACAGATATCGCATTGAAGTTCATAATTGAATCTTGGACAAAATTGTAAAAACTATTGAAAAGCGATTTGAAAGTCATGATTCCTTATACGCAGATATTGCCTGTCTTGATCCACAGAACTTTAAGGATATTAAACAACAAGGTTTGGCTACATCAGCGATGCAGCGCCTTAGCAGTATTCTCATTAAGTTCGATGAAAGCACCACAGCGACTAATCTCAGAGAAGAGCTAACTGACTTTGCGCAGAAATGGGACACATTTAAAAATTCTGTGCCCGACGAATACCTTCTCCAAATGTTCAATGATTAAGTAGAGGACAGCGTCAGTGAAGATTCGCCCCATGAACTCTGGGACGACCAAGTTGTGGCTAAGAGTGAGGAACTTCCAAAATGCAAATCTTGCCAAAAATGTCCTGTTTGCTGCTTCTCTGTACTACATCAATACAGTTTCTCTGGGCAAACATACAAGCATCTCTTTAGTGCATATGAACTCTTATTGGCTCTGGCGTCTACCCAAGTAGCTTGTCAGAGATCTTTCTCTAAACTGAAATACATTAAGAATCGCTTGCGAAGCTTATTGTCTTCTACACACCTTGAAGCTTTTATGCTTATGTCAACAGAAACCGATGTTTTAAGTGAACTGAATAATGACACAATTATAGATCATCTAGCCGAAATGGCACCCAGCTTAAAGAAGTTGCTTATACTATAAACACCATCTCAGTGAGTCTGAATAAATTGATTTATAACTTGAATTGACGCATTCTTGATATTTTATATATAATTATATATATATAATAATTATAAATTATATATGTGATTTATCTTCTTTTTTTTTTGTTATTGTATATTGTAATTTGTAAAGTGACCCATGACTTTGGAGGCCTCGGCCCTCAGGTTTGGATGGAAAAAATGCACAAGGAAAATAAAAGTCATGAAGAAAGGGCCGCTTTATGTTTTTTTCCCGGGCTGCTTGAACTCCCCAGTCCACCCCTGTTTAATTCCCTAGCCATTTTGAAAGTTTCTCATTTCTAAATTTCCCCAGTGTCTAAGAATGACTTCTTATAGTTTTCTCTTCTCTAGGTCTATCTAAATTCATCCAAGATTTAAGTAGAGCTCACTCACTCTGTTTCAATAAAGTCAAACTCAATCGATTAAAAAATTAAAATTTAAAAAAAAATAATTTCAGTCTGCAGTCAGTTTTTTCATACCTTTAAAGTGTAGTAAATCTGTACAAGACCACAGACTTCCACCATAGTAGGAGGCATGATGGGAAGAACAAGTTTTGGCATGAGTTCATCTAAGCGAGAGCTGTCATGTGGGGGCACCTTCTCGCTCTCTGCCTCAAATACTGTGTGGCGGACTTCTTTAGACAAACCCAGAACACCCTTGTTAATGAAGAACTCCACATACTGAAACAGACAGAAATTGAATAAGTCTGATTGGAATCACAGTGAAGGTTTATCGACAACGTTAGCTGGAACTCTTTTTTATTATATGCAGACCTGTTTACTCTTACGATTTTGGCGTACAATGTACGATTTTGAGGTTTATATATTATAAATACTGTGTTTTTTTTTACTATTAAGATAATGTATTGAACGATTTTGTGATGATATTGTACGATTTTAAGAGTTTGAGGGTAAACAGGTCTGTTTCTGCCGATGCTAACAAGTTCATCAAATAATGATAGTAAAATTAATAATGATGAAACTCAAAGTCCAGGCACATAGCACATATTGAAGAAATTCAAAACAAGCCATGAGTCATTTTAAAAAGGTATATTTAAGAGGTCATTATTTGTCTCTTAAATAAAATTTAAAATTAAGATTTATAAATCCGGTGAATGTACGTTCGGTGTGCCACTTATTTCAGGCAGCCGCCATCTTGGTCACCATGACAGCATCCGCCACCTTGTCACCATGACAGCAGTCATGTGATGGCAACCAAGATGGGGGCTTTGTAAAAAAAGAGAAGTAGAGCAAAAACACATCTACTAAAATGGGAAGGGGCAAGAGAGAGAATGTGCCGTTCCCGCTACTTACCCAGAGAAGAGAAAATTAGGAAAAAACAGTTAAAATTTAATTAGATAAAATTTTGAGAAATACCTGCAATCCTAAAATCTGCTACTCTAAATGCCAAGTCAGTATACCTAACTCATGTGTAGATTCCCCCATAAATTTAGTCCCCCAAATTGAGCGTAAATTTAACCCTAAATTTAGTCCTCCCCAACTTAAGAGTAAATCTTCAAACATAAAAGCTATGACCGAATGCCTAACAAGAAGACTAAAACCACGCGTTCATGTGCTTCTGTTACACACTGTACTGTAAAAATCTAAAATTTGAATAAATGATTAAAGTCATTTTAAAAATATGCAAAATAATGAAAACCCAACTTTCAGTTTCATCAAAAACACGTTTACAAACTTTATTGCAGGTTCCACTAAAAATAAAATCCAAAAGTTGTCAGAAAAATCAACATCCATTCCAAAATGCCGGAAAAAATTTAGCTTCATCTCAAATATTATAATTAACCACCCAACGAAATATTAATTTAAAACATTATATGGTGTATTAACATTTTTAAAAAAAAAAAGAAAAGTTAACTGTAGTAACAATCCAAGAATAAACAAAAGGGAGAGAATACCACACATGAACTCAAAGTGGCGCACCGAATGGACATTAGCCATAAATCCAATCAATGCTACCTGAGTATTTTGAAATAAAAGTTTATAATGTACCTAATCCATAGAAATTTATCTATGAAAAAAAAAAAAAAAAAAAAAAAAATTAATTCCAAAAAAAAAAAAAAAAAAAAAAAAAAAAAAAAAACTAACCTGTATGACTTTACAGAGAACCCAAACTTCAGAATCGCTGCCATTTTGAACATCTGCTTTCAACACTATCTGCTCGCCACAAACATAAGAAGTTCTCTCTAGGGTGGCTCTCAGAAGTAGTGGCCCTTTACCACAACAAAGACTGCATGAGTTCCTTTTGGCCACAGCAGAAACTGGTGTCTATTTAAAATATTTTTTTTTCATGATGTGTTTAATAAAGATTAAGTTTATAATATAGACTGGTTATTAAATAAAGGATTTTAATATATTATATAAGAAGAAGGAGCCAATGTAGATGTGTTACACTTGCATTCTTAAAACAGTGATAGTGATTTTGTATTATTTTATGGGAATTAAAATCAAGTTAAATATGATAAAATATATCTGCTTATACTTGAATGCAAGTAAAAATAAACTTAAATATGTAAGGGGTCGTTCGTAAATTATGCCACGCTAAAGATGACCTTTTTAGACCCCATACCCCCCACCTGTCACAAAGTGTCACAAATTCTTTACCCCCCCCCCCAACCTCCCAGTGTCACGTAACACCTAAAAAATCAAAACATACATAAAATTTTCATAACTAAACTAAGATTTTATTTTATTCTTTAACATTTTCCCATAATGGATTAAGATGTAGTATTATTAGAAAACTGAGTTTCATAGCACCTATAACACCTGAGGCAATTTCGATCTCAAATTAATGTTTTTAAAATTAATTAAATAAATATTTTTTCAATATTAGAAAATTTTAGATTTTAAAAAAAAAATGTGACGTCACAAATTTTTTACCTTCCCTTCCCCCCTGTCACAAATCGTCACAAATTCTCAACACCCAGCGTGACATAATTTGCAAAGGACCCCTAAGTATTATAATTATAAATAAATTTAATATAATAATTATTTTCTTTGTAGTTAAGGGGGGTCAATATCTATTTATAGAAAATACTTTTTTTTTTTAAAAAGGAAAGTCTGATTTACTGATACAGCTACATATTTACTAATGTGTACATTTTGAGACTTCAAAATAGCAGGTACCAAGTAGCATATAATATGCCTCACAATTTTAGCCCGATAGCATTGGATCATATCTTCTAGGTATTAATAAACTAATTTATACAATAAAAAAAATTTAGCACCAAAAATTCACTTACAATTTAAAAATATTTAAGTCCAAATTCTACAACAAAGAGGTCCTTTTCTTGGTGAATCAAAAATAAAATGTATGTTGCAATACAAATTTTCAAATATGTTATGTCTTTTATAACAAGAGTTGATGGCATGTCAGTTGGTTTTATCAGTGACTTTATCCGCGTACAAATAAATATTGAATAGAGATAACTAATATTTACTGGAATAAAGAAAGGCAACTGCTTTCATATTTATGTAATTGTAAATGTTTTTACTTAAAATTTTTTTTTAAATTCACTAATAAGAATTTTTTTAACCATAATCAGAAATCTAATAAAAAAGGTGTTACTCTAATTACAGTAATATCTCCTGCCTAAATAAGTAATAAGTGTTTAATACTTATTTACTTTCCAAATATTTACTTTCTAATTCTAAGGTTCTATTTTTACTTGTTAAAATTTATCTTGCATTTTGTAATTTTCCACATAAATTTGTTAGACATTGAAAAAGCCACAAATTAAGGCTAAGGAGACTAAAAATTCATCTATACAACATCAAGTCTTCCATTTAAAAAATTTCTATGCACAAATTCTAACCCTTAACTTACCAAAAATCTTTCATCCACACAATCTATGTGAGGTCCAATGATGGTGAAATAGCGAATGCACTGGGGGCATGAAGCATAGGGAATGTTCAGGTTCACCCGTACATAGTAACGAATATTTCCTACTTTGCTCTCAAAAGAACATGGCAGGACAGTTTCAGGAAGTTGAAAGTGGAAAGGATATCGGTGGCGGCCCCTGCTCAAAATGGGTATCCCTTGGTGAGAATCATTTTCCTCTGTAGATATATAATTAGATGGTCAAAGTTTACATGGTAAAGGGAAGCAAATTATTATAGTAGCTTGACCCCATTCATCACATTTTTATAAAACCATGTCAGTGAAAACTTTATTGGTTGAATGGTGAACTTAAGTTGAATTAATTTTATTTTTGTTAACTTTCATTAGTGTGAAAATATATAATTAAACATTCCTTTAAATTCAGCTGTAAAGCTTTGTTTAATGTCCTCAACAGAAGAGCATCTGTTAACTATGGCATGGTTTGATGAAAACCCAACTATAACTTTTAAAACCCATTAGAGGTTAAAGGATTATTAGAAATTATAAATCATTTAAAATGTCATAACAGTTTAAATTTGATTTAATCATGTTTTATCAATTACATCGAGTAATCATCTCAAACTATTTCTTAAATTAAAATCCTTTTCCAAGTCAATCACTCTTATATTTACCTTTGCCCCAAATCATCATCCTTTCATCAAGATAATGCTCATCTTGTTTCATTGTTCTTCTCTCCCCTGCTCTAGTTATTTTCCATTCTGCATGAGCTTTACCCCGGAGAAAGACCTTAATATCTGCACACACACAAAAAAATGGAATTTATTTTGGTTATAAATTAAAATCCTTTGGAATCTAATAATAAACCATAATTTCTTTGTGTGTCACCATCAACATAATTTAGATTTTAGTTGATGTTTCTAAGCTGTTAATAATAGATTGTTTGATGTATTTTTTATATAAAATTTAAAATTTCTAATGTTTGAAAACCTCACAAAATGTTTAAAATAATATGTGTTGCAGATAGCTGAGGTCGATATTAGTTATGTTAATCAGCATAAAGTTTTTAATAATAATGATTGCTGCAGTGTTTCAAATTTCATGACAGTAAGTTTTCTTTCAGCCATCTTTTGTAACACTTAAGTTTTGGAGTGGGAAAGGGCGGTTGGGGGGGGGGGGCTTGTCTAACATTGGGACTATTAAAAAATGTAGGGAAATTACTGTTATTTTTAATAAAATTTATTATAAACAATGTTCCATCTAAGCTGTACGCAAATGCATCTCTGTAAAGCCAGTGCACACAAAAATTAAAGTACGCACACAAGATTTTTTTTTTTTTAAATAATAATTTTTAAAAATTTTTATTGTTCAAATTCTTAGAAAGAATATGTATAGAAAGAAATAATATTATTTAAATTTTTTAAACTAGTATGCAAATCCTCATTATTTTCTGTTTTGCTTGCTCTGCTCAGATCCCCGCTCTGCCAATTTATTCTTTAGATTTTGCTTTATCACATTGTGCACAAACATGTGCAAGATCTCTAAAATGTTGCGCACACATAATTTTCTGTGCATGTAACCTCCAAACAAAAAAATTAGAGGGGACACTGATTATAAAGCACAGTTAACAATAATTTTTTTTAAATTTACTATTGTAATATCCTTTAATAATATGTTAATCATTTATGAATATTATATCCTTTGATAATATGTTAATCATTTATGAATTTTTCATTGCTTTATTTTTACAGGTTTAGAAAGAAAGTGTATATTCATTTTTTTTTTTTAAATTGTTATTGCTTCCATGCATCTGATATACTTACTCTGCAAACGCATGTTCTCCTCAACCTCCACATAGACATGGCCCGTGAGCATTTCCCCAGCATAAAACACTGGCCGATCCAGCTCCACATCAAAGGCACGAATGTAGTCCATTGTCATTTGTGAAAAGTGCCTCCAGCAAGTCCCACTATCAGCAAGCAGCACAGCTCAGCTTGTAAAAACACACCATACACTTAGCCATGTCAACTCCTGGGTCTGTGGGTGCAACTCTCCTAGATTTCATCTTGAAACAACAAAGACATGTTTTTAAAGTTGAAGGAGTCAGATGAAGGAGTACTTACCCTGCTACAGACTTGTTTGCTTCACTGAAAATATAGAAGTCTTATAGGCCTATATTATTCAAGATAATTATTACATATATAGGCCTACCACTGAATTTAATTATATAATTTATATGGCATAGTTTTATTGCAATTAAAGGTTAAAGCGAAAGGTCACCATGAAGGCCAGAAATGTATTATTTATTATATGCTTCAAAATCAAATGTGTAAGTGCTTTCAAAGAAATATGTTTAACTCTAAGATTTGTGCTGAAAGATGAATTAGTTGCATTATTTTAATTTGAACAACATTGAACATCATCACCTTAAATGTAGACATGCCTTTGATGTGTCAGTTAAGTGGCAAAATAGCTAAATTAAATTGAAACTAACAGCATTAAAATGTACGGCCCCATTGTAATCTTGCTAAAATGTATACCACCTGTATGGAATGCAATCTTCTTATCATTTATTGGTGTTTTTTTTTACTCAATCAAGAAATTACATTTTACTTAATATATGCAATATTGAATATCATCACCTTAAATTTAAACAAGCCTTTGGTGTGTCAGCTGAGTGCAAAATTAAATTGAAACTAACAACATTAAAATGTATGGCTCCTTTGTAATCTTTCTAAAATGTATACCAACTGTATGAAATTCAATCTTCTCATTATTTATGGTTTTGTTACTCAATCAAGAAATTACATTTTACTTCTATATGCAAAAGAATTTTCTCCATAAGATATAGGCCTCCCCATTCTATATTGTCAATAGTCCCAATCCAGTCCACAAATGTGACATTTTACCATTCTACTTGAGGGATTTTCTCTCTTGAGACTTTATGTGAATGAACACATTATATCATCAAACTGTCCCATAGTTAGCTAAATATTCATAAAATTATAAAGTCCAAATGGCTCAAAAATGGAAAATGTACCTTATAGATTTCAAGTAACTATATTGAAATGAACAATTTAGAAGGGATATTTGGCACAATTTTAAATTTGTAACGAACGCTGTTTTTGAATATAACTTGCTAAAAATGCTGATAAGCATTTAATAGCCTGCAGTTAGACATAACAATATTGGAATTTTTTGGGTGGGCACTATGAGCACTTCAAAGACTTTTATTAAAATATTATGTAAATTATTTTACACCAGCAGACCTGTAAACATTCGATGATGTATTTGTGGACCATTGTTTAAAAAATAAGAAAATAATTAAAAGTAAGTTGGTAGTCATTCTCTACCCACAGCTGCACTGTTTTTAATGGCTTAATATTCCAGCATTTAAACACACAAAAAATGTTTGCATCCAATTTTAGCAGTACACCTATTATATTCACATATTAGTTCCATTGGGTAGCCACTATCACTACATAGTTTGAGATTAGAAGCCCCCATGAGACTAAGCTGTTTACCAAACTCCAGCACTGAATGTGATAACTCACAAAAATAAATTACTACCTAGGATCTACACATCATTTACATGAATTTTATATTTTCAATGCCCTAAAAAATAATTTACATCCCCCCCCCCCAAAAAAAATAGTGTCTTTTCTTTTTAATCTTGACACCTGCCCTGTTAACTACCACCTGTTTACCAGTGTGTAGGCTACCACTCTAGGCTACAAGCCAGTTAGTAGAATAACTAAGATGGCAATGTGGGTGGAATGCCATCCTGTCATTTAGAAGTTGGCCGGCCCAAATCAACTTGACAACAAAAGATCAACATTTTTATGAATTTTAACTTTTAGAAGGTGGTTTATCCCCCTTTATCAAAATCCCAAGGTGTTTTTAGTAGACGAGTTTTTTGCTTGTTTTTTTTTTTATCTAGAACTAGAGGAAAATTTCATTCCCAAATACCAGGCTATTATATTTAATTGAATCTTCTGGCAGATAGACATCATTACACTGACAGAACCACACAAAAAATTATCCTGGGACAGAGGAATCATTAATTAGTAATACTCTAGTTACCATTTCCCATTAGCAATAATTAGTCTTTAGTTGTGTATTTTATGGTGAGATCAAAACTATCACCGCCCCCCCCCTCCCTTTTGTTACCAGGCTTCATGTGCTCACAGTGGTATTTTTTTTAACAGTGACAATAACCCTCCATTTACTTTTGTTATTCCATTCGTCACCATCAATGGCCATCCTTTTGCAGGCTTCACTTTAATGATAACACAAGCATACTCATGGGTTATTGGCAGGACCATATCCAGCCCCTTCAGTTAAGAGAGGGGCAAACACACTAGCTGTGATGCTGATAGAAACATATGCAACGCTTGCCCCTTTGTTACACTGGTAGTTGGTAGGCCTTTTGTCTTTCCATCAAAAGCTTAAACAGCAAATAAATATATGAATAAATGACGTAGGTAAGTATTCACTTTACCAAATTATCTCCCTTCATTGCCTTCATCGCGTCTCTTCTTCTTCTTATATTTGAGGTGCCCACGATCAATTTGTTGATCATTCTGGCTCCTGGTTTAAATTCAGAGTTCGCGTGTTTCGTTCCATTAAATTAAACGGTTGAAGAAAAAAAAAATTAGGTGTAGGCTACTGAAATAATCGCAGTACTACTATCATCATCATATCTTTGAAAATACAGGTGTGTCGGCTCCCCCCACCCCCTCCCTTTTTTTTTCCTAGCAGTATACCCGTCATGCATATGATTAATATTATTTATTTGGTTCATATTTGGTTCATACTTGATGCAGCTAGATCCTACATGTAGATTATTTACAATCATTGAGTAAGCTACAATGCGGAATTTTGTACGATCATTGCTTTCCCACTTTTCCCCAAACAAAGGATTATCTTTTCAAGAAGTGTAGAGAGAGAGAGAGAGAGTCATAACGCTCTGAGACCAAGTTGAGTAGTGAGTAGTGCAACCAGCAAACTCAAAGATACCACGGTGTTGCAGCCCCCCCCCCCAGCCGACATCATCTATCGAAGATGATTTGTAGGGTGGGGTCCATAAGTCGAGACGTGCAAACCAACCAACTGCCTACCCAAGAGCTACTTACTCAGAGCTAAGCCGGTGTTGCTTTAACCTATAAAGAAAGCATGTCTACAACGTATTACAGTTCAATGGGAGGGGTGGGGGATTGAAAGAGAGTTGGGGAGGCGCGCCTGATTAAGTTATAAAACATTTTCCAGCCCGGTCCACTCAAGCACGCAAATAAACAAAACACAAAGACTCCAAATCACAGTTCAACAAAATGAACACACACTCGGGAACACACTGAGTTGTCACCCCCTCCCTCCCCAGACAACCTCTCGACAAACCGACGAGCCACAATGCTTGACACGACCAGCGAGGCCTATCATTTGAACCGTTTAGACATCGAACAACCTGGATCGAACCGATGGTTATAGTCATCGTCGTTATCATTGTTGTACACCAGTAACTAATTCTTCAAGGCACTACTGACACAAACTTACATGACTGCAGTCGGCGTAACCAAGTAACACCGAGGAAAATCCTCCATTTTAGCTGCCCGGCCCGTGCATTATTGTACTTCCCAACAGTCGGCTCATCCCCCCTCTCCCTCTCTCTCTTTCACTCACTTACACTCGCTGTGCTCTTCACACACACCCTCCTTCTTACACACTGCTACACGTGCAGGCAGCGCCGATGGCAGTTCTCATTTGCCAGCTTTCAGTAGCTATGAGGGGCGTCAAGTGTCCCGGGTGTATTTCAACCCAATCCGTTGTGGGGCACCCGCGTGTTGAACAGAAAAAAAAAGAAAAGAAAGTGACATTTACTACGATATATACAGCAAAGGAAAAATATGGACCAACCCAATAGAGCAATCAAAAAAATTTCTATCTTAATCAAGACCTTCATTCATAAATTTTCTAATCGCTAACCTCTGCCCACAAATAAGACTGACAAACTGCCTACCCCGCGATAAAATGGACGCGACCCTCCGCGGGATGTTCACGTGAAAGCCGCCAGAAAGGGGTTATTGATCGCAAGCGGCTGTCTCGCGCACACTCGCTGCACTGCCCGCCTTGTTTTTGGCGGGGCAACAGCAGTTATCACGACGAGAAACAACTCCTCAGTTTTTAATTGGAAGATTTTTGAAAGCAAAACAACACGATTGCGCTCTACATATTGTTCGAACACCCCGATATGTGGTCCGTTCACCTTAACGTATCACGAGGGAGAAGTGATCAGACTAATTTCAACGTTGACTCCAAAGGCCAGACTGATCCAAAATGCCAACAAAAATTAGAACCTGTTGTGCTATTCTGGCCTATCAGAAGTCACTGTTAAATATATAATAAAACACATTACTTATTTATTTTTTTTTTAACTTAGCCAAACTTTGCTTTGATGCTTCATGACATGACTTCTGAAAAGTCTCGCTTGTGTCAAATCTGATGAATGCTGCATGTCTAACAGCAGTGACGGATTAACTCCCAAAAGTGCGCCCCATTAATTAAAAAAAAAAAAAAAACACCGATTAAAACAAAACAACTTAAGCTGTCACCCCGTCCCAATCACCCCTTTTTTCCCACGCCCCTGAATTATATTCTATTGACCCATCCACTTTTACAGCGCGGCATTAATTTTATCAACCATTTCTGAAAAAAACGAAAGAAAATATTACGCACCAAACGCACTTGCGATTATGTTTTTAAGAATCTCATTTAGCGCAGTTATCGGGATTTCCATTTTTTATCTTCCCTTTGAAAAACAGGAAAAACGAATTTTGGGGGGAAAGGGGCTGAACAGTTTATAGAGTGTGTTGTCATCGGCATCAAAAGCTTGACGGAAAGTGGGCCAATCAGCCGTCCGAACATTTTGCTAGCCATCGAGTCAGCTAGCCAGCCACAAAAAAATAAAGGAAATTAAAAGGCATATGTTCTTAAAATTAACAAAAATCAATGCACACGAAAATACTCTATGACCATGTGGCTACATTTGTAACATCAAATTAGTATTGATAATGTATAAAGATTACACAATAATATATAAGGTTTTTTGTTTTTTTTAAAACAAAATATTTTATTACTACTGCGCCCCGCCCCCCAAGGTTTTTTTTTTTTTTTAAAACAAAAAATTTTATTACTACTGCGCCCCGCCCCCCCCCCCCAAAAAAAAAAACAAAACAAAAAAAACACTAATATCATTTTTGAATGGAATGACAATACCAGTATAGTAAGATTTTTTTCTTTTTTGGTTGGAGGGGTGGGGTTTAAAAATGCTGAAATTAATCTATAACAGAAGCAAAATCTATGTTGTTTGTTATTTAATTAGTTGTATTTTTTTTTTTTTTACATTCTGAGCTTTAACAAACCTTGTGGTTTAAATTAACTGTTTAAAAAAAAAAAAAAAAAAAAAAGCAATTATTTCAACTTGTCCATTTACACAGAGACAAAAAATCAAAAGAATTATTTGTTTTAAAAAATAAACTATTTAAAAATGTATTAAATATATATATATATAAATAAACATTATTGTAACTTGAGAATGTGCCCATTACACTTTTAAAAATATATATAACTAATAAAAATTGATACACTTTTCAGTGAACAAAATGAAGAAAGTATGAAAAAAATTAATTGTGTTTGGGAGTTCAGTTCTGCTTGCATTTGATGGTATGATCAGGTCAATGATGCTGCCATTTGATGGTATGATCATCTCCACCATGTTATCACAGGCAGCTCATTAAAGTATACATATTACTTGTAAAACATTCAATAAATATACAATTTGAAAACTTAGAAAGAAAAAAATAAAGTTATTTTTCACTTACACAGTTACGCTTACACATCAGACAGTTACACTTACACATCAGTCATAGTTACACTTACACAGTTACACTTACAGACAGTTACACTTACACATCAGACATAGTTACACTTGCACATCATACATAGTATAGTCACATTTACACATCATACATAGTTACACTTAAACAGTTACACTTACACATCAGACATAGTTGCAGGACAGAACTCACAAAATTACACATAAACAAAACTACAAAACCTGAAATTGACAAAAATGCAAAAAAATCTTACAAATCCATAATTGCAGCCATGATGACCTTTTGATGACCTCATGAACCCATTACAATTTCTGGGGCTCAGAAAATATCACTAAATGATAACTGTCTGGTGTCCTCTAATGGAAGCACAGTACAATATATTTCAACATTGTTGATTGCTAATTTGTTAGTGAGTGGTTTTGCACACTCAGAGTTTCCTGAAATCTTGCTTCATTTGACAGATTAAACATACCAGCTACAATAAGACAAAAATCTTTGATTATCTGCCAGACAAGTTGGTTGGACCCACATTCACTGTACATTTCAATTACTTTAATCATCAGTTGATCAAGAAAACTTTTTTGAGAAAAGAACAAAAATCAAACACTGTTTGCACAATTACAAATAAATATTCTTTTTGTACAATTTAGGTATTGTTTTCACGGAGAGGCTGTGCTTTATGGAGCTCTGATACATTTTAAAAAAAAAAAAGACAGAATATTATAATATAAAATTGATATGGTTAATTTTATGCCCAAAACATAAAACCCTAGCGCAAGGCCTACATTGTTGAGAAACAGCCTTTGTAACGATGTATGTAATAGTTTGCACAATTACAAATAAATATTCTTTTTGTACAATTTAGGTATTGTTTTCAAGGAGAGGCTTTGATTTATGGAGCTCTGATACATTTTAAAAAAAAAAAAAGACAGAATATTATAATATAAAATTGATATGGTTAATTTTATGCCCAAAACATAAAACCCTAGCGCAAGGCCTACATTGTTGAGAAACAGCCTTTGTAACGATGTATGTAATATAATTGTTGACTCAAGCTCTTGCAGAATTACAGAGTAACCTGTTTAGAAATCTTTTTATTGGGAAGATTAATAATACAAATAGTTTCACAGGATTGTTAACATAGTGATTCTGCTCAAAGAGTATAATTTAGTAAATAATACTTGTTAATATAGTGATTCTGCTCAAAGAGTATAATTTAGTAAATAATACTTGTTAACATTGTCATTTTTCTTTGCGCAGACTACAACAGCACTAAAAAAGCTCAAGAAAATATGGAATTACAAAAATATAGCCCCCAGCACCAAAATCAGGCTGATGCGCTCATTAGTCCTCTCCATTTTCCTGTATGCCTGCGAATCCTGGACATTAGCAGCCGATCTTGAAAGGGAAATAAAGGCTATGGAGATGAGATAATTCAAAAGCATTTTTGGCATCTGCTATAGGGACCATATCTCCAATGATACAGTGAAAGAAAGGGTTCGTCAGGCAATTGGGGAGTACGATGACCTACTGGTGACTGTGAAAAAACGCAAATTACAATGGTACGGCCATGTAACAAGGAAACAAGGGCTTGCCAAAGAAATATTGCAGGGCACCACAAGAGGAGGGAGAAGAAGAGGAAGACAAAGAAAAAGATGGGAGGATAACATCAAAGAGTGGACAGGACTAACACTGGGCGATGCATTGCGTAGTGCTGAAGACAGAGAGGAATGGAGGAGGATGGTTCACATGTCATCTGTGGCGCCCCAACGGTCCAAGGACTAAGTGACATGAGGATGAGGAGGAACATAGTCATTCTGCTCAAAGAGTATAATTCAGTAAACAAGACTTTTTTGGTTTTGTTTAACTCAATGGCACAACTAAAAATTGCAATGAACAAGAATGATGCAGTAGTCACTTTCTAGATAACCAAGTTCCATATCTCAAGGATGAAATTATAAGTCAGGCAAAGAAGGTAGTAAGACACCTTTTTGATTTGATTTTTTAGTAATTAACATTTTATACTTTATCATGTATGTCTGTTCACATACATTTACAATATGAACAAAATTGTATGCATGTTTGTTCAGTAAGTTATCGTTAACAAAGTCATTTTAAGACACCGTCCCTAGTTTCAGGGCTCGAATTTCCTCTCGGGGCAGATGCAGCCTTCTTCCATACATGCCCTGACCCACTTCTCTGTGATGATGTGAAACTTTTTCTGCCTCTTCCTCCGCAGCTCCTTTATGCTATCCAGCCTGCTCAAATCGCTGAAAGAGATAAGTTTAGTTATTTTAATGTTGGTTTTTTTTTAATCTTTTCTTTTAAAAAAATGTATAGTAATTAAATTATTTCAATGAATAAAAACTAGCATAGAATACAGAGAAACCCAAAAGACTGTTCTTCTAAATATGTTCATTCAATCAAGATGAAATTGTTTGACGTGGTGTGATCAAACTCAAGTAAGGACCAAGGAACATCAAATTCAAATTAACTGGCAGATGAGAGTTATTAAAAAAAAAAACAGCTTCATTCTTTTAGTGGCTGAGTGCCAGTCCTGAATGCTGCTGTCAAGCCAACGAGTTTTGGTGTGTTGTTACTAGACAGGCGGATAGTTTTTGGTGTGTTGTTACTAGACAGGCCCATGGGTTTTGGTGTGTTGTTACTAGACAGGCCGATACTTTTTGGTGTGTTGTTACTAGACAGGCCCATGGGTTTTGGTGTGTTGTTACTAGACAGGCCGATACTTTTTGGTGTGTTGTTACTAGACAGGCCGATAGTTTTTGGTATGTTGTTACTAGACAGGCCTATAGTTTTTGGTATGTTGTTACTAGACAGGCCGATAGTTTTTAGTGTGTTGTTACTAGACAGGCCGATAGTTTTTGGTGTGTTGTTACTAGACAGGCCAATAGTTTTTGGTGTGTTGTTACTAGACAGGCCCATGGGTTTTGGTGTGTTGTTACTAGACAGGCCGATAGTTTTTGGTGTGTTGTTACTAGACAGGCCGATACGTTTTGGTATGTTGTTACTAGACAGGCCGATAGTTTTTGGTATGTTGTTACTAGACAGGCCGATAGTTTTTAGTGTGTTGTTACTAGAGAGGCCGATAGTTTTTCGTGTGTTGTTACTAGACAGGCCGATAGTTTTTGGTATGTTGTTACTAGACAGGCCGATAGTTTTTAGTGTGTTGTTACTAGACAGGCCGATAATTTTTGGTGTGTTGTTACTAGACAGGCTGATAGTTTTTGGTGTGTTGTTACTAGACAGGCCGATAGTTTTTGGTGTGTTGTTACTAGACAGGTCACTCTGCTTTCAAGCGAACAAGTTTTGGTGTGGTTTTACCTGACAGGCACTTCATAATTTATTTTTTTTTTTAATTCCTATAAATTATACATCAATGATGTTAATGGTGTTAAGAATACAAAAATGGGAAGACGACCACACACTTCCATCTGAAACCATCAGAGTTATCATTCACCCAAAAAAACAAAAACCTTTCATTATCTCTGAATATTTTCAAACAATTGGACCTAAATCAAGTACGGAGATAGTCAAAATTTAATTGTGCATCTGGCATATACCTTTCAACACTAAGCATAATTTATATTATATAATTAATGACAAATGATAGTCATAGCCCATGGTTTCAAATGCCTGAAAAGATAATCTAGATAGCAGTGAACTCCATTTTTATTATAGATGGATGACACAACTGTTTCAGTCTTTCAAGGAAAAAAACAGCCCCTCTTGTCATTCATAAACAGCAAATCAAATTTTTTATTATAGATTTAAATATATATTCATATAATAAACTTGAGACACGCAGGAGTTGAAGCCTGAAAAATACTTACTTGAAAAATGATTTTTTTAAACCTTTTCCAAATTAGAGATAAGGCTGGCCTGCCCATCTTTTCAGCACACTGCCTGCCAGCAATCTCATCAAGATTAATGACATAAAAATAATACATACCGATCATTGACCAAGACATGAGAGACACTAGAGTCCAATTGGTCTGTAACCTCTGCTCCAAAAAAGCGCAGCTCCAAGGCCAGCAAGTCAAGGGGACAGTCTGATATGCGAGTAGTGGGGTCTTCAAGTGCCAGGAATTGATCAACATAAATCCTGAAAAAACATGACCATTTTTAATTTTTTTTTTTTTAAAGGCAAAATCAGAAACAGAATATGGACATTTTTCAGACGGACGACTGGACACACATTTCAGACCGGACACACGTTTCAGACTGGACACATGTTTCAGACTGGACAGATGTTTCAGACTGGACACATGTTTCAATACATATAAAATAAAACCTGTATAACCTGCATCACTACTTTGTCAAGAATGATATATTGATAGAGAAACAAACCGTTGGTATGTTGTGATGTCCTCAGATATGTTATTTATATAGAAAATATTCAATGGTATTTTATGTTGCTTTCAAATCAAGCAAGTCTCTCTTGTCCTCTCCTTTTTTTTTTTTTTTTTTTTTTGAGTGAAAACAATCAGCTTATACTTTAGATCCAAAAGAGAGCACTAAACTTATATGACAAGAGCGCACTATTTTTTTACAATGCTTTAAACATGCAATGCATTTTTTCAATTCTACATTTTTTTTTTTTTTTTTTTTTTGAGTGAAAACAATCAGCTTATACTGTAGATCCAAAAGAGAGCACTAAACTTATATGACAAGAGCGCACTATTTTTTTACACTGCTTTAAATATGCAATGCATTTTTTCAATTCTACATTGTGAATGCATTTTTTTCAATTCTACATTGTGAATGCATTTTTTCAATTCTACATTGTGAACCAGGTCAATAATTGCTGAAGAATATAATTTTTTTTTTTTTCAAATATGAAATGAACATGTTATAAAGAAAACATTTTGAATTTTGCAAAGAAATTTGCAATAAATGTCTCTTTGTTTGGGTTTCTTGAGGTAATGTTAGTTTATATTTTGCCGTACCTGCATGGTCTAAACAAGCTGTAAGGTGAGTCACATGGAAAATATTCTTCCTCTATCTCCAATATATCTTCTCTTGACACAGATTGGACATTCTCCTGTCAGGACATCGGACAAAAGATACAATTATATACACAAGTATTTGAAAGTCTTATCTGACAAATCTTATTTTACAAAGTGGTACAGTGAGTTAAAGCAATAGTTGAGCTTTATGATAGGAAAGTAAATGGATGGTTCAGGAGAGAGCCTTAGCTGATTAAAAGTGAAGGGTAAGGAAAAAATGTAAAAAGTTGCCTCAGAGACAAAAAAAAAAAGTACCGCAGTAATAAGAAATATAATATGAAATTAGATCTGTCGACGTTGAACTTATTGAAAAGCTGCTCACTGCAGTAATGCAAAAAGATAAAAGTAATCACCATTCCATCAAAAATTTTGCGAAGCTCCTCCTCTGTCACATCCTGTGTGTAACTGTCGCCAAACCCATCAAAATCTTCTTCCAATATTTTTTTTGTAGCTGCCGTTGTGTGGATCATATCAGCAGGGGACCTACAAGGGTAAAAGCAAAATCGACACTAGATTTTAATAAAAAACTTTAAATTTAAAAATATGTCAGCCTTTAAGGAACTTGGTTATCATATCTGCTTTAACTGTGTACTGAAACTTGTCCCTAATACCCTATATATGGATGCACTGCAAGGCAAATGCCAACTGTTTTTAAAAGCAAAACTTTCTTTGTTTATTATCCTGAAAACTCATCCATACCATTTAATCCAAGATTCAGACTGAATGACCCTGGATAGCCAATCAGCTTTGACAATGTCATATTTGCTGTTCTTGATAAGATTCTTTACTCTGACAGCAACTTTCTCAGCTATGACACACAGTGTGGTGGTATCTGAAGAAGACAATATGGTGGTAATTTTCAGAACAAAGAACAGACCTAAAGTGTGCCCCCCCACCCCCCCCACCTTTTTTTTTTTAAAGGACACTTTTTTTTATATATACTAAAATCAGAAATCATTTTGTTTCGCTGTGATAATAATTTTTAAAAAATCAATAGTACTGGATTTTATTCAAAAGAATTGTCCACTTACACATTTTGATTGATACCTTTCACAAATGATTGCACACAATTGAACAAAGCAACCAACACTACTAAGTAGTTGTTGATGTTTGCAAATAGAGACATTTCCGTAACAGCCTACCAGGATTTTGAACAACGCCTCCACCAAACTCCACAATTTTTTTCTCCAGCTCCTGTTTTGGAAAGTTGGCCGGACCGTCAATGACACAGAATTCTTTGCCTTTCAAAAGCTCAGAAACCTAATGCCAATTTTTAAAAAATACCAAATAAACAAATTTTCACAGAATGTAAAACAAATTACTATTTTTGAACAAGTAAAAACTAAACCTGGTTTAAGTCAATTTTTATGAAATGTATGCAATGAAGTCAATGCCATAGTGTGTTAAAAGCTTTGATAAATTTCTAAGATGATTTTTATGATTAGAAAATGTGGCTAAAACCACCCCCCTCAAAAACATAAAGTTTACTTTTTTCACTTTGGAAACGTCTGCACCTTTAAACTGGGCCATCAGAGCTGGACGAACAGCACGGCTAACAACTTTTCTCTTTTTCTTGGAAGGCTCTTCATTATCTCCTAGCTCAAATCTCATCCCTACCAACTTGCCCCCTGATTTCTGGGAACAGAAGTACATAAAATTGCACTTGGGTGCTTTTCTTGGGTGGACATGACTTTTACAGTCAGAGAAAAATAATTTTAAGGTAAAAAAAATAATAATTTTTAAAGCACATGAAATTTCTTGTATAAGACAATGGCATTTATACTCAAGACCAGCTTAAGTCTTCTGTTATTGTTTTTTTTTTTTTTAAAAAAAAGAGATTTTCTATTTTTAGATAGGTTTAACTAAAAATGGTGGTGTAAAATCAAAAATGACTTCAACTGATTATAAAGAACAATTAGGATGAAAATTGATACAATTTAATATGATATCAATTCTACTTTACTAATAACATGTGCTGTCATGTGCTTTTGATGGCCAAAGGTTCTCATGCTTTTGGAATATTGCACCACACTATTATTATGATAAAACATTCATGTGTAGGCTATAATAATATGGCTAAGAGAATTCACTGAATGGCTGATTTTTTAATTTTTTTTTTTTGGTGTTTTTTTTAATTAGTGAAATCATTTATTATAAATGTCTTGTGTTCAAATTGTTTTATTTATGTGCTGAAAATGTACAATGCAATCAAAAAAACATTCCCATTTGTTTGGATCAATAAAAGAATCTTATCCTATCTTATCTGATTTGCTATTCAAACTGAGTATATTTATTTCTTTTAGTTACACCTCTGTGCACAGCCTGGAACAATCAAATAGTTTGAGAATCAGCACTGCTTTAGACTTACCTGTCTTAGGTCTTCAACATCTTTTGTTGTCATACACTGGTACCATGGCTTGTCATCACGAATCACTTCTACCCTTGGAAATCTTAGTGTGCATCCTACTTTATACCTGTCACTGTCAATGATTTCTGATGCTTTTATCTGGGAGAATAAAGGAAAAAGAATTTCCAATTAATAAAGTTAGTAGTTAGTATTTTGTTTTTAAAAAAAAAATTTTTGTATATTACCGGTACCGATTCTTTAATAACTTTGCTGTTCAATTTTTCCTCCATTAAAATTATGACAATGTACAGATGCCTAATGAGGGGGCAGGGCCGATCTATCAGCCTAGAGTGTTATGGCAAAAAAAGACAAAAGGCCTTTGGCCCAATAATAAAAGCTTTGAGATTGGCTGGCTGGTCTTCATACCAGCTAATCTGATTGTTTCTTCCATTTCTTGCTCATCTTGCTATTTTAATAATGGCTTCCATTAATAGTTTACAGTGTTTTGTCATTTTATATCAATTTTTTTGTACCTACTGACCCCTATAAGTGCTTAAAAAATATGACCTTGAAATAATCCAAAAGTCATAATTAGCCCCAGGGGAATATTTTATGCAGTTTTTCACAATGAATCACATTCAAATATGGGTTAGGACTTACATAAAATTCAGCAAGTTAGACAAGTGTATTCTAAGTGTAAAAAAAAATTAATGCATAAATGATTGAAATCAGGATATCAAATTTTCATAAACGTTGATCTTTTATATATACAAACACAATATGTAACTTTTTTGTTGTTTAAATAGCATAATATATTTACGAGATGCAACATTCTTTTGGTTAAAATAGCAAGATATATATACAATGTGTAACATGTTTTACTCAGTTACATTCATCCTTGTTCTTTTAATTTTTAACATCACTGTGAACAAATTTCTATCTTATTCTTTTAATTTTTAACATCACTGAGAACAAATTTCTATCTGAACAACCTGCAGAATCTTTGACTTATCAGGAGGAAGCCATAAGTCTGGTTTCTCTTTGAAGCCCGATGCCAGCTCCAGGTGTTTTGGTGGGTTGTTCTTGTTGAACACTTTCCAATGTTCAGTCAGTTGTTGGTTGAAGTCTTTCAGCTGTTTCTTACTGTACCCTGAGCCAACCTAGAGCACAGATTAGATAGATTTATGTCCATAAAAGCAGGCAAAATCGTTTCATGGATTAAGGTCAATGTAGGCAAAAATGTATCTTGTGATATTTGTCAACTTGTATGAGTTTTATTGATGTAAGTGTTAAGATTTTTTTTCCTGTAGCTTGAGAATGAAGTAAACCAATAGTTTTTAAATTGAAAATTCTTCTAAATGCTCTAATCATTTGATATGAAGGGGGAGAGAATGCGATCAGGTTAGATAAAGGAAAATAAGTAGTACAAGGACTCTTGGTGCTCTCTGAGATGCTACATTTGAGGCAAGTTTTTATTTTATAATCGTTATACTTGTTATTCTAAGTTTGTACTGTTCCATAGTGTTGTTGTTGTTTTTCAGGGTTTCCTTTACCCTGCACCACCTATTTCCTTTCAATTCTTTCCTCAATGATGTAAAATTAATAAAGTACCCACTTTACAAAATGAATGGAAGATTTTTGGCAGCTCTCCTTCCTCCACGGGCTCCGCCACCGCACACAGGAAGTGGGACACCATCCCACCCCTCTCCCCAACACCAAAGTAGCCCCCGACAACGAGCACGTCCAGCTCGTCCATCAGGCCCCCAATGTATTCTGGTTTTATCTTAAACCAGCCGCCTGCAAACCAAACAGTGAGATCAGCTTGGAAGGACAAAGAGCACAGCTGATCATTTCACTATCAATCTTTAGGTTAGAAAGAGAGAGAGGCTCCTATATTTAGTTAAAGGGAATCTAAGACTAATAATATATGTGGTGAAAAGTTCTAATAAATAATTAGAAGTCACGTACATGGAGTGTAAAGTGGTAGAGTGGTACAAATAAATACAATCCTGTGCCACTGACCTAGTTCTAACTTATTAAAAGGAAAGAAAATTTAGTATGTCAAAACACTAGTTCAACTTGGACTTACAGCTCCTCATCAAAGTTAACAGAAATCTTAAAAAAGGGTTGTCCAAATTCTGATAAGGAAACATAGCCTACACTAGCTAGTATTGGACCTATAGACACTGTCACAGCCTACCGTTGCTAGTATTGGACCTATAGACACTGTCACAACCTACCATTTCTAGTATTGGACCTATAGACACTGTCACAGCCTACTGTTGCTAGTATTGCACCTATAGACACTGTCACAACCTACCATTTCTAGTATTGGACCTATAGACATTGTCACAGCCTACCATTTCTAGTATTGGACCTATAGACACTGTCACAGCCTACCATTGCTAGTATTGGACCTATAGACACTGTCACAGCCTACCATTTCTAGTATTGAACCTATTAGACACTGTCACAGCCTACTATTGCTATTATTGGACCTATAGACACTGTCACAGCCTACCTTTTCTAGTATTAGACCTATAGACACAGTTACAGCCTACCATTGCTAGTATTGGACCTATAGACACTGTCACAGTCTACCATTGCATGTATTGAACCTATAGACATTGTCACAGCCTACCATTGCATGTATTGAACCTATAGACATTTTCACAGCCTACCATTGCTAGTATGGGACCTATAGAAACTGTCACAACCTACCTTTTCTAGTATTAGGCCTATAGACACTGTCAGCTAGTTTTACCATGATGCCTTCCTCTTTGTTGTCAATTGCTTCATTGAGAGCATCAGCACACTCTTGGCTGGGGAATATTTTACACGTTTTTTTTAATAATAGTCCTTGCTGAAAAATCAACAAAACAGCTACAATCTTTTGCTTTCCAGGAATTTCTTTTTTTCCATAATAAATAGCCCCCTTTCAAAAACAATAAATTTAAATAAAATGATAATTATTTACAAAAACAGTTCTAAATATTCTTAATAATAACTACGTAAATTATTAAATAAACATCTGATTAGAAAGATTTTACACAATTGATTGAAAAGGATTTTTATAAATAATTTTGCCCATGAAATTGTTTTACTTGTCCACCAAATGTCTTGAAAAATATTGAATATTCCATTTACTTGCTGTGAGCTAGCTTGTATGAGGATCTAACAATATGCCCTTCTACAGGTGTGAAGACATCTTCTAACAGAGGCAGTCTTTCAATGAGTGGTGTGTTGGTCAGCACCTTATCATTCAGTAACAGCACATCGAACACCTGCCAGGAGATGACAGATAACAGCTTAGTAAGTCTTGCTTATCTTTTTTTTTTTTCTTCAAAGTCCAGCTGTAATTTAAAGAGCTATCAGGTGCAAACAGGGGTCATAAATTGTGTGGCGCTATATGTGAACATATCTGATTATATTCTAATTCCATTCAACCATTTCATCTGGTCCTTGGATAAGCAAGTTGTCACATCACTTCAGAATAATAATAATAATAAAGTTCATTTCAAAAACAGGCTTCATCCTCAAAGGCTCGAAGCGCGGTACAAAGTCAACAAAAAAACAAATCTATAATTTACCACATTTACAACAAACGCAACACTACAAAAACTAATTACAAGCATACAATGGCAAAGTCTTTCTAGCCATTTCAACCATAAGCAACACAGCCATTATGCAACAACCCATGGAATCAGTCTCAGCAAGAATTCTATCAGTAAGTCCATGGATTGCTGTTTTACACCACCCACTGTACTAATTTTTCATTTCGCACAACATGATTTATTCTTATTACCCACGCTGCAAGATCCTATTTGACAAAGTCTTTAAAAAAAAAAATTATTCAAACATGCAAACATTCACAAAGAAAAAGTTGTATTGATTTTAAAAATTCCCCCATATTAACAGGTAATAGAACTATAAACTTTGAGATGAACTTTTTTTAAACAGCATTTGCACATATTTTTATTTTCAATTTGAACAGGCCATTATGGTTGATGGTTAATATATTATAAACAAATTGGATTAAAAGTTTACATGTTACCAAATCCAAGCCTGAAATTGCCACGCTTTTGTTGACTAGCAACACCTATCAAAACCACTTACCTGTACACATGGCTGGTAGCCTGTTCTTTCAACAACATCTTTTGACTTTATTTCAAACTGCTCCCCCTTGGTACCTGAACAAAGGATATTTTAAGCTTTACTCTAGCCAGGCTCAATAAAAACAGAGAAGATTTTGCTATATTTCTTATTAAATCTCTTTTCCAAACTAACATCAAATCAGTTCATGTTTAACATGAAATATGTATGATCATCTTTTGGTAAGAATATTTTTTTTCCATTTTTTAAACCAGAAGCTCATCATCATTGTGGGCTGGCAATGCTTTTGTTAAATTATATAATTCAGTGGTTCCCAACCCATGTTCCTCTTCAAATTTTTAAGAAATTAAAAAAAAGGTTTGCCCAAATACCAATAGAAAAAGAAACCTATCTTTCCTAGTATTGGGTTCAAATCACTGCGACAACCTACCTTTCCTAGTACTGCCCTTAAGACACCGTCAGCTTGTTTAACCATGAAACCCTCACTTTTCATGGGCTGGGCCGCCAATCCAGGAAACTCCTCAAAACTTTTAACTTGTATGACAGGGGTATGACTAAAAATTTATGCTAAAACGGGGCTTTGAGAGCCAAAATTGGTTAGGAACCACTGGTATAATTCATTTGGTTTAAGTGCATGTATAATGTAAATGCGTTAACTGAAAGCGGTAATACATTACTGAGCAAGATTGTGTACGAAAACAAATATTGAAAACAATATAATTGCAGATAAAATATTTAAAGTTACCATATGTATTCGTGGCTGCATGATATCCCAACATTTCTCCATCCAAAATACATTTTTTAACACCAGGCTTGAAGCAGTTGGCAATGTAAGGAGTCAAAGTCCCCTCAAATGGATTTGAACCAAAAACCTGAGTGTGTTCATTGCCGCTAAGAGAAATTAAAACATTGTTGACCTTGCCAAATTTTAAATAATTAAACAATTACCTTATCTCATAACATGATTTCAAATTTTGACAAGTGGTCAATGATAAAACAGAGATGTTCAATATTTAATCTCAAAATCTTAGAACCCATTTGAATTCCTAATTTTATATGACAATTTTAACTACATACCTCTACAATTTTAATAAAAATTACATGTTATCATCTAAACATTAAGGATTTTTTTAACTTCTGCAAAATCTATTGTACCTTCTTGCAAAGTATTTGTATTCATCTCCATCTTTGTGGAGCAGAACACGTTCCCCGTCATATTTTGTTTCTATCACGTAGGCCTTGTTGTCCATAAGTTTTTCAACCTAGAGCAAAAGATCAAAGGCTTTTAAACATTGTCTCATTAAAGAAAGAGAATTTTTTAAAAAATATTTATATAGAGCTGTTAGTATTTTATAAAAAAAAAGGTTAATGTGGTAATTTTAAAGTTAAATAATTAACCACAAACAAAAAAGTTATTTGTAAACCTGCTACGGTTACCTTGAATATCTTTTTTCACTCTATATAACAACAAAATAAATTGAATAAAATTAACAGAAAAGCAGTATTTACCTTGTCAGGTGAAGCCCTTTCTCCTAGCATAGGTGTAAAAGGTGAGAACACTTCAATTCCTATTTCATATGCCCTGGTCTTAGGATCTCGCAGTAATCGACACACCTTTGTGTTTAAACAAAAATGTTTTCAAATATCTCAAACAACCTAAATTAATATTAATATTTATCTGCAGTTAGAATTTTTTTTTTCAAATGTTGATCTTCATTTGATGACTTTGTTATTGAACCTTTTTTAAAAAATTAAGCACCAATATATCCAAACAATTCTGTTTCCAAACACCTTATAAATCTCTAGAAAGATATTAAATTATAATTGAAAGATTCAACAGGAGGTTGTTAAGCACTAAACTCAATTGCAACAATTTATTAGGCTAGACTTTTAAACCAATGTATTCCTCTAAAACAAGGTAAGCATTTTTACTTGATAAACTACCAACTTTTTCCAGATTGTTATTGACATTGTAGAGCTCCTCTGCATCTGGATGGTAGACACTCAGCACAGACGCTTGACTGAGACCAATCTTCAGCTCCTTCATGATCATGCGGATCAACCATTTCTGTTCAATGGCACTGAGAGATGTCAACAGATGCATGATGTGTTTGCGCACAGTCTCCTTGGCTTTGTTGGCATTCCCTACAGCTATGGCATCAAGGTCATGGTTGACTTCCGCAATTGTCAAAGACCCTTTGTCAGGACACCGGTTTTTCAAGACAAAATAAGCAACACTGGCAAAATCCCCAGTGTCCTAGATGGAGCAGAAAACATCTTGATATTTGAAACTGCAGCAGTTGGCAAACATAAACATAGATTATATAATATGTCTTATCTCAAGACAAAAGCAAACAGATAGGGTTTGTCATTTCTCAGACCAGAAAATGTCATAGTGCACTGTGTAATGTTACTATTTTTAGAACGTGGGACAAAAATTTCTTAAAACATGGCAGCTAATAGTGTGTTTCAGCAGCATCTGACTGAAAATGACGTGCCAGGCCAAAGACAGATATTTCTGCCCACTCAGTTTTGCAACGACTAAAGAGGTGGTTTATAATGAACTGTCACTTGAGTGCAGAGAAAGGGCGAGGTGAGGAGAAGGGATTGCGGAAAAGGAATGGGGCAGAGAAAGGGCGGGGTGAAGAGAAGGGGAACGGAGAAGAGGTGGGGTGCGGAGAAAGTTCAAGGGTGCGGAATAAGGCAGGGCAGCGGAATAGAAGGAGCGCTGTTCATTTTTTTACTCATAGATAAAAATGTTCAAATTTACTCTCAATAAAGTCCTTTTTCACAAAATGTATATCCTTGAATATAGCTATAGCAGTAAAAAAAATTGTGTAAAATATTTCGTAAAATATAGTTGTAAACAAGTTTTGATTTAGGTTAAGGGCCACTTTGCTAACATAGAAGTACTGAACAGTATTGACATACCAGATGATTACAGCAGTTCTATTAATAGATTTCCACCATTAAATGACAAGCCCTATAAGCACAGAATCACACATTTTTTTACCAATCTTTAAAAAATAATGTGTGTATTAATGGTCTCTAAAGATTGCTAGCATGGCATTTTATTTGTGTTTTTAAAGGGTATTTGTGGTCCAAAACACCTAAATAATTATCTGTTGACTTCTGTACTGTAAATTAAAGTAAAAGAGCAGTCCTATATAAATATCACCCTGCTCTAGTTTGTATGTGCATTCATTAAAAGCAACTTTAGAACAGACTTTACAAAATAGGAAGTTGAAATTAAGCACTTACTCCCTGAGCTGCCTTGGGGGCTTTAAAATTGAGGAGACGATGAGCGTCTGGACTTTCCTTGCCCAGGCACATGAGCTCTATCAAAAGTTTGGCAAATGTGTGCTGATTGGAAATCAGATAAAAGATATTGATGGATAATAACTTTTCTCATAGATATTTTATACACTTTTCGCTAATTATTAATGGTAAAAGTACTTTTATATCTCAAAGATATTTGGGATCTCAAAGTAACTATAGCCTTTTGTTACTAATAATTCTTAATAATAATTTGTCACCGCTTTGCTTCGTAAATATTCTTGTTGAGATTTTTTAAGTTTAGTTTAATCATAAAATGTATTAATAAGAATTCTTTATACAAGATAATTGTAGAGCTTTAAATTTTTATCAGGTAAATACGTCATTTAATATAAAAATTGTATGAAAAAAAAGTTCATCCCAATATTGCCTCTACCTCTTTTATTCCATAAGCCACCCTCTCTCGTTCAAGATGTGGAAGCAACAGCCTTATTGCAGGATAAAAGGAGTCATCCTAGAATTAAAGCCACAAAATATAGAACCCATTAATAATACCTATATAAACAATTTTCAACATTAAAAAAAGGTTTGGTAATTTTAATAAACATGATTAACAAACAATTATTTCAATATAACAAAATAAAATGTAAAAAAATTAACAAACTTGTTTTCCTTCTTTAGAAATAACATTAATAATCATATTGATACAGTACGATGTTGATAATACTGGCTAATTGTGCATTAATTAAAGCCTTCCCGATAATTGACTTATCCAAAAGTTCAAACCCATAATATATACATTTGAATTGTAAAATGAATTTAATTATTATGTTTTGCTTTTATTCATGTTTAGAGATGAAAATGCAACTTTAAATAATAGAGAAATAAAAATTAGATTTAGGGAATCAGAATGTTTTAGGCTACCTATTTTTGACAGCCAGGTTATCTATGTCTTACTGTAAGGTTTAATTTTAATGAAATCTTCTAGAATGGTTGCTGACTAATGAATATTTAAAATGAAAAATACAACATGGTAAAAAAACGTTTTGTGTACGGTAATAAAATTTAGTAATTACTGTTTCTTTGTCATCCTTGTGAAGCTTTTGGTGAAAATCTCTCCACTTGTCTATAAATTCTTTTAGAATCCGCTTTTTCTTGTCATTTCCTTGAGTCTTGTGTATTTTTTCTAAAAGTCCACAGAGCTCAGAAAATCTAACATTTGAAGCCACTGAATTTGTGACTGCACTAGATTTAGATGTATCACTGCCACTGTTTGCCATTATCTGATAAAGGAAATAAGAACTGAATGAAGGTCAGTATAAGTATAATGTTCTGTTTGATTTCTGCTGTGTATTTGAACCAGCAGTGAAAAAAATGTGAAGGAAAACCCCACAGGGCATAGTCAGAATAGACAGTAATGAGCAAAAAAAGTTTGAACCAATAGAGCTAGAAAGTTCATCTTAGTGCTTAGTGAATCATTCAAATCAATGAATGAATGGTCTATGATGAGCCTATGAGTATGACATACTGTATGTTAACCCTCTTGAGAGGGCTGAGCCGATCTATCGGGCCATAGTCGAATGGCAAAAAAGACAAAAGACTGATCCATCTGCCCAATAATAACCTCGAGATTAGCTGGATGATCTTGTACCAGCTAATCAGATTACTTGTTGCATTTCTTGCTCAACTCGACATTTTAATGGTGGCTTCCATTGATAGTTTACGGTGTTCTGTCATTTTATATCAATTTTTTGTCAATTAAAGTTCGGAGCCTCACTGTATGTTTCTGAGTACGATTCTCTCCTCTTTGGTTATTTGTGGATTGTTATAAGAGTTAACTTTTCATTTTTTAAATATTAATACAGAATGGAATGTTTTTGATTGATGTTTTTTTTTTAAAATTAATATTTCATTTGGTGGTTATTTATAACATTTTAAATGAGGCTAATTTTACGGCATTTTGAAAAATGGATTTTGACATTTCTGACATCTTTTGGAGTTTATTTTTTGTGGAACCTGCAATAAAATGTGTAAAAGTGTATTTAACTAAAGTTTGCTCTTCAATTAAAAATAATTTTTTTTTTTTTCAAACTTATTATTTTTTCAGTACAGTGTGTGTAACTGTAGCACACGAATATATGGTTTTAGGGTTCACGTTAGGTGATAGATTTTTTGTTTGAAGATCTACATTCAAGTTAGGGGGAACTAAATTTAGGGATAAATGTATGCTTAAGTTAGGAAGGAGTAATATTTAGGGGGGAATTTAAGCCTGACTTAGGGATAGTGACTTAGCATTCAGTTTAGGTAGAGCTGTAAATTTTAGGATTGAAGGTTTTTCTAAATTTTTCCAAATTTTTATTTCTATCAGTAAGTAGTTAAAATAGCACATTCTATGCTTTCCTCTACCCATTTAAAATGATATGTTTTTCAATATTTGTTTGTTTTACACAGCCACTACACTGGTTGCTATGACACATCGACACTCAGAAATGAGTGGCGCGCCGAACTTAAATTTACTCAATTTTATTTTGTGTATTTCATGCTTTAAAAATATCTGACCTTAAAATATGCCAAAAGTTAAAATGCATAACCATCCCAAGGGGAATATTTTATGGAGTTTTTTTACATTGAATTTCATTTAAAAATAGTGTTAGGACTTGTTTAGGCTTCAATAATCTTACAATTTTTTAAAATTCTGTCAGTAAGGGGCCATCCATAAATTCATAAATGATGTCGCGCAAATTTTGCCTATTTTTTAACACACACCCCCCCCCCCAACCATAGTAACAAATTGTCACAAAAATGTAGTTTAGGTTGTAAGACAAAATTTGGTATCAAATTATTCAAATGAAAGATAATTGAATGGACTATATGTTTGTAAACTTACTTCTTTAGTTTAACTAAAATAAACTACAAAATGACATAAGAATAGCATTGAGTCTAAAGGGACCCGGGTCCGAATAGCGACGCTGCATGTCTGGGTCCATTTTGTAGTTTATTTTAGTTAAACTGAAGTGTCTGAAGAAGTAAGTTTACAAAAATATAGTCAAATATAGACAATATATACAGTATAGTCCATTCAATTATCTTTTCATATAATACCTAATTTTCTCTTAAAAACACTACAATAATTTTTTATATTTTTTAATAAACCCAAACTCTCATTTCTCGGACCCCGGTCGAAATAGCCGCAGCCATAAAATTAATTAAAAATTAAAACTACTAAGACTAAGACTAAAGTAAAAAAGTAAGTAAAAGTAAAAGGCTTTAAAAGGTAAAATAACAGGCTCCGTTGGCCGTTTCAATTCAATGTTTTAAGACGCTCAATAATTTAAACAGAATTCCTTTTCCTTTTTTTTTTTTAGTGCTTGGATTAGGCCTCTTTATGGCATACTAATAAGCGGCTAACTTTGTTTACCAATGTTTTTTTTTTCCAAATTGTTCCTGTTAGTGTTAGCTTGCTAGAGCCACAGTTTGTTGGTCATTTTCTTAGTTTCTTCTTTCATTATTAATGCTTCCGGTTTATTCTACATGGAGTGGCTTGGCGGCAACATAAAGGCTGCGTAACTGTTTGTCTAAAACACCGAGGACAGGCATGGGTCATGTCATAGTCATTTTGAGATGGGAGCATTACTCATGTTATTGATATTTGAAACGCCAAGGCGCGAAGTTTCGGTCAGATCAGATTTTAACATTAAAACATAGCACATACATAAAATTGAGATTTTTTTTTACTGCAACGAGTGTCGTACAAAGGCTATTCTATTTTAAACTTGTAGGCCTATTATTAATTTATAGTTTATTGGGGTTTTATCGTCTAAGTGAAATTTGGTCTAACCATACGTTATTGCAACGTCATAATTTTTTTTTTAGTTAATTGAATGTTTTCCTTTAATTACATCCTAATGCAGTGAAGAATAATTAATTATTTGTCCATGGATTTACAACATCTCTGACACAATATTCAACATTTTTTGTTTTACTTATTTTGAAAGATAATATGATTATATCAAATAATTGAATTAAATCCATACTAACCACCCCCCTTGCTTACAAACTTATTACTAAAATTCGGTCACATGAATATCATTAACTAACAACAACACTTCTTTTTCAAAACACCCCTAATCAGCGGTTTGTAAACTTTAACAAATAAATAAATAAACAAAAATCCTTAAATATTCATTTGCCTCAATGATCTTGTGGCAATTTTTGTCAACATACCTCGAAGGTCTCGACATCCAACCAGAAGTCGTAGGCGACGTAGGCTAGGCTTATAATGTTGATCATCGACAGGGGCGTCATTTCAGGGTTTTTTCAGGGTTGGGGGGGGGGCAAAAACCCTAAACTTGGTCAGCTTGTTAAATTGTTTATTACTGTAGGCGCCACAGTTCATAGCAATTATTTTTTTAAACCTGCAAATTTAAGGTGGGGGGGGGGGAATGCCCCACCCTGCCCTACCCACTTGACGTCCCTGGTCATAATTGGCCGTGACAACTATTGAGTTTATTCTTTCTTGTGTCCATGGAGATGGAAACAAATGTCGATTTTTCGTTGTTTCAACTTCGAAGATATTCGTTCAACCCTAGCGCTAGTTATCATTAGACACCTATGCCTTTTTACCTATGCTTTTTAAAATGTTGGAAAGTTCCAAGCTCGAATTTGCATTCTTGCGATGGTGGCATTGATTTGCGTAACCCTTTAAAAAATATTTATGAAATAATTGAAATGGAGAATTTCGTCTGAAGACTCCACAACGACTTCCTCGGGAATTTTTGCTAACATTTAGGGGAGAAGAGATGGGGGAAGGGGGGGTGTCTTCTCGATTGTTTTTTTTTTTCCCTTTAAATGTGCTAATTTTGTAACAAAGTTTCCGGAACAAACGAGCAACAGAGTTGTTGTTTTAATTCCTATATTTAATAAATACCCAACGGCTTTTCCCTTTCAAATATCATTTTAATTTTAAAAAATAATCTTCGCCAGCTATTTTAACGCATTTTTTAAATTTAATTTTTTTTAAATATAATAATCGCGGAGAAAGTGTATATATATATTTCCTCCTCACCCTCATGTCCCTTAGTCCTTGGACCGTTGGGGCGCCACAGATGACATGTGAACCATCCTCCTCCATTCCTCTCTGTCTTCAGCACTACGCACTGCATTGCCCAGTGTTAGTCCTGTCCACTCTTTGATGTTATCCTCCCATCTTTTTCTTTGTCTTCCTCTTCTTCTCCCTCCTCTTGTGGTGCCCTGCAATATTTCTTTGGCAAGCCCTTGTTACGTGGCCGTACCATTGCAATTTGCGTTTTTTCACAGTCACCAGTAGGTCATCGTACTCCCCAATTGCCTGACGAACCCTTTCTTTCACTGTATCATTGGAGATATGGTCCCTATAGCAGATGCCAAAAATGCTTTTGAAGTATCTCATCTCCATCGCCTTTATTTTCCTTTCAAGATCTGCTGTTAATGTCCAGGATTCGCTGGCATACAGGAAAATAGAGAGGACTAATGAGCGCATCAGCCTGATTTTGGTGTTGGAGGCTATATTTTTGTCATTCCATATCTTCTTGAGCCTCTTTAGTGCTGTTGTAGTCTGCGCAATCCTGGAAATCAGTTCGGACTTGGAGCATTCTTCTGAGACTATTGCTCCTAGGTATTTGAAGCGCCGACAGTCTCAAATCTTTCCTCCCCGACCTTAATTTCAGTGGTGATGCCTGCGGTATTATTTGTCATCAGTTTTGTCTTTTCGGCACTGATTAGCATTTATACTAGTTTAATAAATAAAAATTCCAGCCAATTAATAATTGGAAATTCGGATCATTTAATTTTATACGATTTCCCTCATATAAAATCATTATTCGTAAATATATTATGATGTCTTCTGTGAACATCCGAAGACTTCTTATGCCGTTTATAAGCAATTGGTAAAAATGAAAATACTACGCATCAAACGTACTAGTGATATTTTTTTTTTCAAAGGATCTCATTTAGTGCATTAATCGGGAATTTTATTTCGTCAAATCAGTGTCATCATATTTCGTTCATCGTCCCCTTGATAACAAGAAAAACTGATTTTTAGGGATTTGGGGGAGGGGGAGGGGGTGAAAATTTGATAGATAGTGTTGTCATCGTCAACGAGTCTATGTGCCAAGTGCCAAGCTTCAGTTTGATAGAAACGGGAAGTTGTTCCATTAGCCGTCCGAAGATTTTGCCAGCCAGCCTGCTACGACTAAATGAATTTAATAGAAAGGATTTAATCATATAAACAACCCCTAAAAAAACGA